GTGTTTTTTTATTTTAAAACTGGTTGTACTGGATAATTTGCACTTGGACTTGGCCCAATATATTTGATGGGTTCGATTAATTTGTTTGTATATACGTTGTGTAGGTGGGAAATGGTGATAGAGGCTAGGTTGAGACAGATTACTAGGATTTCAGAAAACTAATTTGGCTTTATGTCAGGCAGGTCTACTACGGAGGCGATTCATCTACTTCGACGACTTATGGAGAAATATAGGGAAAAAAATAGAGATCTTCACATGGTGTTCATTGACCTTGAGAAGGCGTATGATAGCGTTCCGCGCAATATGATATGGAAGACCTTAGAAACGAGACGGATCCCAACTGCTTATATCCGGGCGATTCGTGATATGTACTGTAGATCTACTACATACGTCAGGACTACAATTGGCGACACCGAGGCTTTTCCGGTGGAAATAGGACTCCACCAGGGGTCGGCTCTTAGCCCTTTCATCTTCGCCTTGATTATGGACGACATCTATTTTACGACACCAGACGGTGTACCATGGTGTATGCTTTTCGCTGACGACATTGTGCTAGTTGCTGAAACAAAAACTGAGCTAAATAGTATACTGACTACCTGGAAAACTGCTTTGGAAGAAAAAAGTCTAAGGATCAATATTGAAAAGACAGAGTATTTATGTTCAAACTTCAGTGGGAACCAAAATGATGAAGATGTAGAAGTATGCATCGAAAGACACGTTCTCCCCTCAAAGGATTGTTTCAAGTACCTGGGGTCTATGATACATAAAGATGGGGGTGTAGATGATGACGTTACACACCGTATAAAGGCGAGTTGGCTAAAGTGGAGGGCTGCAACAGGAGTTTTGTGTGACAAGAAAGTGCCTCTAAAACTTAAGGGAAAATTTTATAGAATGGCAATAAGACCAGCGCTGCTGTATGGATCAGAATGTTGGGCAATCAAGAAGGATCACGTAAGGAGGATGGAGATCGCAGAAATGAGAATGCTTCGATGGGTATGCAATAGGACTCTGTGGGACATGACACCAAACTCTGCAATTAGGATGTCCTTGGGGGTGGTGTTTGTATCCAAAAAATTGAGGGATGGAAGACTTCGATGGTTTGGGCATGTCCTTAGGCAACAACCATCGGATGCGGTCAGGAGGGTAGAGCCGATTACAGTCGACGGTGCCAGAAGGAGAGGACGACCAAGGAGGAAGTGAGAAGACTGTTTGAGATCTGATTTGAAGGATTTAGCCCTTACCGAGGAAATGACCTCTAATAGGAAAGTATGGAGACTTAAGTCCATGGTAGCCGAGTAGTGTGGGTCACAACCATAGTGTGACATCCCAAAATACGGGTTAGTGATTAAATTGTAAAGTTTCAGAATTTGGTGATTAAAGTAAGATGATTGAATAGTTCAATGATTTGTTCGGAAATATTTCCTAAAAGTGTATAGTAATTATCCAAAGAATTAAAGGGCAAAACGGTCATTTAGCATGAAATATATTTTTCCCCAATAATATGAATGAATCACATGGGGGTGGGGGAAAGAGTTATCTGAAAACTCTTTCTTCTTCCTTTCTTCTTCTCCCAACCGTGGAAGCTAGGCAAAGGTAAGTGTTTTCTGAGTTGTTGATTATTTGTTAAATTAAATGTTAGGTTTTGATCATTAGATGATAACTAAGCTTAAGGAAAGCTTAAGTTGTCTTATAATCAAAAGATGAAGAAGTTATAATAGATTTAAGAAAACGAGTTTTTATATGAAATTATGGGAAAGAGTTGATAAGTTGAATTTGAAGTTAAATTTGACTTGTCATCATGTTAATTAATGAATATGAAGTGTTAGAATTGTATTTAGAACATAATGAAATTTGAGTATGATTCTTGAATTACATATGAAGGATAGAATTTTGAGGTTATGGATGGTTTTCATGGATATAAGTTGGTTTAAGTAATGGTAGTTGAGTATAATGACATGATAGGGGTTTAAAATAGAAGAATTCAGTGAAGAATTGATTATTTTCGGGCTTAAAATACAATTTCTGGGCATAGGGAACCGATACCCTATGAAGGGGAATCGATTCCCCTTCTTGAACGAAAAATTTCCAGTATGGTCAGGGGGCGATTCCCCCTGGGGTGGAATCGATTCCCCCTTAAAGGAAAAATGAAATTTGGTTCAATAATCTGGCTTAAGTTGTTAACATCAAGGTTAAGGTTTAGGCTTCTGATAGTTGTTTGAAATGTTATATTATGTAGTATTGAGCCTAAACAAGTTCTGAATAATCAAAGGATTAGAATTGATTCAAATCAAACAAGGCTAAGGTGAGTGCAATTTTAATTGTACTTATATTATTGAACGAACATTGGCTTGCGATGAGTCAGTGATGGAGTTACTATGGTAAGAAGTGACTCCTAAAATGTTATTTGATTGGTGATTCTTATATGTGCATGAATACATGAAATGAGTATAAGTTATTATATGTTACATAATATGCATATATGTTATGAGACATGACCAATGTGAAATGAGATAAGCTATGTGACTATATGAAATGATATATGAATATGCAATACGTGATACATATGATATGATATGAAATGACATATGAATATGTAATACGTGATACATGTGATATGATATGAAATACATGGTTACACATACATGTGGTATGTGATAGAAGAGAAAGAACAAGTAATGAGAAATGTATTCATAATAAATGCCCATAGTATATGATACGAGAGTTATAGGTATAGTTGGCATGCCAAGAGTCGAGAGTTACATATGTCCTATAAGACATATGATAGGTCCTACGGGACACAGATTACATCCTTCGGGATGACAGGTCCTTCGGGACACAGATGACATCCTTCGGGATGATAGGTCCTTCGGGACATTTGTACGAGCTTTGGTGACAGCATATGTGTGCACAACCTCAATGTACTCACATACCTCTATTCTCAATAATATACATGGGCAACAACAACAACAACAATTGAAATATAAATTAAAGTGAAAGTGATGCAAAAAGGTAGGTTTCATGTGTACATGACTTGGTTATATTTGTCATAGGAAATATATCCATGCATATTGAAATATCATGATCAACTGGTAAGAATGCATATTCATGAATCTACTATTACATGTTTATTTATTGCCTCACTAAGTCTATGACTTAGCGTGTAAGTGATTTACACGCAGGTACCAAGAGACGAGAAGAACAAGAATAGAAGTGGCAAAGATAGTATCGTTACTACTAAGAGATCAGATCAGAAGTAATCGACAAAGTAGGTATTTTGTTGTATATAAAGTGTTGGCATGTAATAAGTCATTAATTACGAGTACTCTGATGGAGTTTGTATTTTGTGGTCATTTTTATGTAAATTAATATATTCTGCATTAAAAAAAGTTTTAAATTTCTCTGTTTTCAAAAGAGTCAAAGATTGAAAAGTCAATGTGACACCTCGGACTCGTATTCGGGTCGGGTACGGGTTGGGGTGTTACACATAGGGTGCAGCATCTTTGTCTTCTTTTTAATGTATTTGTAGTAATTTGAATGACTTCTACTTTTTATATGTTTTTATAAGTTTCTGTCATTGGAATTTATGAAGGCTTAGAACTAGGGTAGCGGAGTATTGTTTCTTAAGTTTAGGTTTTAACCTTTTTGACCCTATTCCTTCTCGTGGCTTGCTATCGCTGACTTCTGTGTATCATTATCATCATGTTTCTTCTTTTACATTTAGTCGGGACTTACGTTTCTGTCTATATGCATAGATTATTACGCAGGAATTTATTTGCAGGGATTTCTTCACATTACGGACGCACATATGATGACTTAAGAAGACTGTTTCAAATATGTATTTATTTGTTATGCATTAATTTTATTTTATCTTTATTTTTAATTTTCTTACTGCCAGAGGTCTTCCACGGAAGCTGCTCCCAACCTAGCGTTGGGGGCAGTCTACTACCCTACCTCCCCCTTACCCCATTGTATATGGGAATAGGGTTTTGTTGTTGTTGTTGTAGTAAATTAATAAAAACATATACTCCATATAAATATTTTTTTATTTTTTTATTAATATTTTTCAAGCATCTATTGAGATATATTTTCTGATTTCACAATTTCTATTATTTTTATACATCCAATAGTAACTATTGATTTTGTTTTCAAATAAATAATCTAATGATTAAAATAATCAATTACTTTTTAACCTTAAATTAAACTTTCTTTTTTTTAGACGGATCCCTCTCAATTTTCTCTTTCAAAAAGTTCTTAATCATTTATCTAAATATTAATGATGATATATAATTGTATGCTATTGAAAGAGAAAATGTATTATTAATATAAAAAAATATTAACTATCAGATTTAATTTTGGACATCCCCTCCCATTATAAAATAATAGTAATAAACACTAACGAAGATTTATTCTTTATAAAATAATTTAGTTTATTATGTATTATTAATTATTTTATATTATTATTAAAAAAAATTATTTGAAACATAATAAACATTCTTATAGTAAATTTGAAAATTAAAGAATAAATACACACTATCATTTTTAATATTGTAGAAAAACATTTATTACTAGCACACATGATAATAATACTAATTAAAAACACAATCATAAATTAGGATCGCTAGAAAAAATAAATAAACATCCTACCATCATTATATTAGATAATTTAACGCACAGCAATAATGTTTTATATCAATTAAATTTTGGAAACATCGTAACCGAAAACAAAATAAAAATAAGGATGTTTGTGAATTATTTTGAAATCCAGATCATTTACTATAATACAAGTAGAACTCATCATGAAAAAACTACAAAATTAAGTTCAATTCCTGTAGAATTTTCCTGGTTTTGGTCTTACGCGATAAACGGTCCCCCCCCGGTGCTTTCAAGATAAACATTACAGGAAGGGCGAGGAATTAGTGAGGCGTGATCGAGTTTCAAAATGGCACATTGTGTTTGTCAATAATGTGAGCAAAAGGATTCACTCTGTAACTCTCAAGGAGATGTTTCAGGCTTATGGAGTCGTGACCGACGTTTTCATAGCGTACAAAAGTAGAAGAAGACTCACAGAGGGTTCTACTTTTGCTTTTGTTAGATTCAGTAGCAAACATGAAGCAATCACAGCAGTCCGTAGGGCAGATGGTAGGATCCTGGATGGTTTTAAGATTAGAGTCTTTAATGATAACATCGGAGTTTCAAAGAATAAAAGGGCTGAGGTAGGCAAATCCTTTAGAAAAAGTGTGGAAACCATCGTTAAGGGATTCTAGGTTGTTCAAGGATGTACTTTGTGGCTTGCAGATTGTTGAAGGAAGGGCAGTTGAAGTTGTTGATAATACTCAGCATGCTACTAATCTAGCATCAGGTAACGTGATTCACGTTACGTTTGAAGACGAAATAGACTCATGGCCAAATCCAAATAACGACGAGAAAGGTTTGAATATTCGCATATCGGAGAAGGAGGTTGTGTGGAGAAAATCTTGTTTGGTGGGGAAATTTTAAAATATGTTCAATGAAGACATTATTCATACAACATTCAATGCTGAAGGGTATGATGTGAAGGTCAGTATTTGGCATGAGCTTCTGGTTGTAATTCAATTCGAAAATGTAAAGGATCATCTGGAGTGCTGATCTAATAGAGAGTTTTGGGTTCATCGTTGGTTCGATGAGCTGGAAATGTTGGAGGGCTATGAAAGCAAAGTTCGAATTAAAGTTTGGACCTCCTTAACCGACGTTCCTCTAGCAGTGTGGAGTGAGAAATTTTTCATGGATTTGGGAAGCTTGTGGGGTAAAGTGTTATTGGTCGATGTAGCAAAGATTTTGATGGAAGTTCAATATGTTTCGGACATACCAGAGAAAGTTTCTATTGTTTTCAATGGAAGATTATACTCCATAAAAATCTCAACAGAAGTTCATGAAGAGATTCGACCGTTCATAGATGGCTCGCTTGCTGGTGGTGGAGCTTGGCGTTCAATTGCTGAGGAAGTAGGTGATGGTCCTACGTTCGAAGAGGCATGGACTGATGGAATTTGTCCCCAGACAGATCATAATGGGGTAGCTACGCACATCCCACTCTGCCAGACGAGTGATAATTTTTATGTTTTGGAGACAGCTAGTAGGGGGCACGTGATGTCCAATGTGGAATTGTGTGCTGCTCCCGAAGTTAATTCGCATGATGTGCAGGTTTGTTTGTTTGATGGGCCTAAGAACATGGTTATTGACGAAAGTGTTGAACTTATGGCATTAAACAAAGATGTTGAATTTTGGCACATTTAGTCATTATTCAACAGTTCAAGGTTTTTGGAGATTCCGATTATAGAGGTGTCTTTAACTAGAGTAGTGGATGAGGGGTTTTTATCTAAGTCTCCTGAGGTGGATATTTCGGTTAACTCATGTGAAAAAGTTCTGTCCATTAGAAAATATAAGAAGAAGAAGAAAAATTCGGTTCTCTATTGGACATTCAGGATAAAGTCCTTTCGAAAGTTGAGAGAAAAAGAAGAGATCGAGCGATGAAGAGATTCAATTTGCTGAAGTCTGATCTAATCTCCTCTGAATTATCAGGTAGTACTCTTTCAGATTCGGATTTGAAAAAAAGGTGGGTTGTTGCTTATGTTGAAGCAGATGAGACTCTCTCTATTGGTAAGAACCTTGGTTTTTAGTTTGTTGGTTCTGATAGTGATGTTCTCAAGATTTTAGTGGCACCAAAATTGTATTGAGTGTGGTGCGTGCCTGTCAGGGGTGTGTGAGGTATAAGGTTTTTGGTCTTTGGGGGTTTTATTGTGGTATTTAAGAGGAGCTAGAGTTGATGATTAAATAGTATTTTAGTGTTAGGATATTAGTAGTTTGTTTTATTGGTTAGTCTGAGTTGTTGTGGGTTCAAGTGTTTATTAGTTGCTAAGCTGTTTTCTGGTGGATTTTTTTTTTGTTTAGATTAGTTGCCGATCATTGTTTTTAAGGCAGTAGGAATGTGGTTGGACTAGATTTGCTTATTCAAATGGCCCTCAAGAATTTATTGTCTGAATAGAGTGTAAGTTGTAGAATCACTGATTCTATTCAAACATTTGATTTGTTTTGAATAGCAGTGTTTGTTTATGTGTTAAGCGATTATTGATTTAAGGGTTGGATTTAGATGTCATTTTAGTTATGTTTTGAAGAATCCAAAATGGAGGAGCGTCAAGCTTGACATTGCCAGTCTCAATGGAGCATTTTAAGGAAGTGATTCTTGTTATGCTAGTCCTATGCAGTTCTGCTGGTCTTCTTTTGATTTGCCTGTTCTCCTTGCTATAGTGGTAATAGTGAGATTTTCCAGCACTTGTATCAGTGTGTTTAGGAGGTGTGGTGACTCTGGTTTCGGCTGCTGTTCGAATTCCTCCCATTGTTGTTGTGTTTGCTGTAGATCAGTTTTTGCTGTCTTTTTGTTCTAACTTCTTATTGCTATATGGACTGTTTTGGTGTTTATTTAAGTTGGGTTGTGGTTGGGGTATGTCTTGCTTGATGTAAGAGTCATAGTTGTATTTCATCCTTTCCACCTCTTGGTACACTCTTTTTCCTCCATTTAGGGTTAGGGAGATTTTTTAATGAGGTCCTTGAGGTAATGTACTTTGCAATTATCTAATATAAAGTACTCTCTTTAAAAAAAGTAGAACTCATCATATCTTCGTGACAAATTTCATAAAATATATAAAAAAAATAAAACTAATCATATAAACTTTTGGAAAGTATATAGAACATGTCATGTCCTCATAACGAGTTTCAATTAATCATTGTATATTTTATAGAACACATCACTATCTCATGATAAATTTCTCACATGCTATAAGAAATGGTTTAAATCCCACAATAAATCTCAAACAACCCCAATTTCCAAAACAAATTCCATAAATTATTTAGTCAACAAAGCCGTTTTATATCTAGTTCCCCTTCCAAGATGTTTTATTTTGTCCATATTTCTAAATTATGTATTCATTTTTGAAATAAATTTAATATTTGAAAAACAACCCAAACATTCAGAATTATATGGATTAAATATAATTTAATCCATCTTATTTAAGTTAATGATATTTTTATTATAAACTCATTTAGAAATTCAAATATTAAGATGGTAATTAGAATTATAAAAAAATAATCATTAAAATAGAAGCACAATATCCACCAATTGAATTCGCAAAATACAGTATATTGCAAACTTTTGTAATTATCAAGCATTTTTAAAGGTAAACTTACCTAAGTGAAGGGTTTAGGCTCACAATTCACATTCCCCCAATGCTCAAAATTGGTAAATCCCGAGACACCCTCCAAACTGCTACATCGTTGCAACCTTCCAAGACATGATTGATTATAAAACTTTACACTAGTCATATACTTTATAAATGCAATTTGCAAATTGAAGAAGTTCAACACAACCAGTTTTATCTTAATTGATTTGAGAAAGGGGTGAGCGTGGTATTAGTGATGCCTTTAATTCCTTTCCCTCAAAAGATTCGTACGAATTGTTTTCACGAAATTCTTCGACCAGAGCTTCCATCGGCATGGCTCGTAGCGATTCGATAGTCCCTTTGCTCAGAACATCTTGCTCACTTCGTATTGGTGTCGTCCCACTTGGCACATAATCCTATACATTATTTTTGTTGATGCACAAATTTGAGTGTCATAAAGTCAAGAGGTTTATAAGTTGAGAGGTTTAAGCATAAGCATACCATATATATTTGTTGGAATGTTTCTTCTGCTCTCTGCTTCATGGATGAGGCTTGACTTGAATGATCATCCTGGAATGTTTCAAGGCTTTTACTATGAGCACTAATGGAGTCCATGATTCCCCGTGTAATTCCGTGTTCTTGCTCTGAGAATCCTGTTCACAATTCCACACAAAATTTAACTCGCAAGAGAACTCTGATTCCAAAGCTAACTTTTGCTAGAAGAAATGGGTGAAATTTTGCTTTCACACCAAAGAATCAAATGAATTGTCGTGTCCCCTTGAATGAAAGATATGTCATAACTAAACTAAGATGATTGGACCAACAGTCGGCATCAAACAGAAACTCTACAGTACATATTCTAAAAGAAAATACTCACTATCAATGTACTGAAGGGTATCATTAGTATTCTTCAAGCCATCTTGCTCAGCCACAATGCGGGCACTATCAATTTCGGCATCATGCTGCTCGTTTGCTTCAGAAGCATTCCTGAAACAAACATACTGAATTTAGCTTCTAGGAGAGAACAAAAGACTACAAAAATGAAATCAAGTATACTTGTGTACTAATATTCCAACAAAGATATAGCCTAGAAAGAATTATTGTTATCATTCAAGAAAAGAACTAGTTTGCATCCATTTGCAATGAACAATACGTCATAGAAGATGTTTACGACCAACCTTATAAGTGTCACCAGATTTGAAGCATGTTTACAGCCCTTTGCATTCACGGAATCCTGAGTACATTTGTAGTGATCGAATGCAGATCCAGCAGTAGACACACTTAACGAAAAGAGAAAAAAAGGACAAGTCAACCAAAGAGTGAGGGGAAATGGATTCAAAATACGAACAAGACATAATTTACCATTGCTGTAGGAGTTCCTCAATACGGCAATGTTTGGCAGCTGAGTAATCAGCAGTGTCTTTAGCATCTTTCTCTGCTTGCATGGCGAATGCTTGCCATTTTCGTTTTGCATCTGTTGTAATACCCTCCATTGTGGAAACATGTCCATCCAAAAATGTTTTGTTAGAGAAAACACTTTCTTTGATATCAACAAACCTTGCCTCCACCTGCCAGAAAAACCACAGCTCCGTCTTCAAATAAGCATAAGTGAAACCAGTAACCAAATAGAGAATGAACAAACCAGCTCTTTTTGCCGATGAACATGGTTATACACGAGATTTGTCATGTCGGCAATAAGCTTGTCTGCATCAGATTTCGATTCCTCCTACATGGTATAGGCTTGATGAATAAAAAATTTCAATAATGTATCTCAGGTCGCGAAATAGTAATATATGCATAGTATACCTCATAAGCCTTCTGGAAGTTAGCAATGCTCTTCATTTGAACTTCATCAGCTTGCACAGCATGATTCTGAACTCTCACAGACTCTTCTGAAAGCTTATCTAGAATTTCACTGGTATAATCAGAAATGTCCTTTGTTTGCTCAATACTCACATGGAACCTCTGTTAATCAGAAACGGCCAGAAAAAGTGGAATCAGCAAGGAAAAGAAAATAAATATAAAGAGAAGAAAAAAATCTAGCTATGCGGCCAATCTGTAGGAAATTATGCTAATATAAATAGCACAACCAAAACACTATTGTACGAAACAAAAATTAATTGCAGAATAAATGCCTAAATTGCTATGGTCTAAAAGAGAGAAAATTAGAGTAGAAAAAGGTGAGGTATTAATATCAGTTGTATCACCACTTAGATAAGTTCAACATTGGAGCACAAACCTGTCTTAGTTCTTTTGCAAAAACAGACATTTCGTCCTGGTGAGCTGCAAGACTATGCTGAAGATCATTAAACATTGAAGTTGCTTTGCAGGCTTCGGACGAAAGGAACTGATGCATAATTCAAAAACAAAAGCAAAACAATTAAACCAAGCAAAAACACCAAACAAAGAAAATAAAATGCGACCTAACTCAAAATA